TCCGGAGTCGAGGTTGGGATAGTGAAAAATAAAATGGAAATTACTATATTATAATAGGGTATATATTGGGGTTATATAGGGATAATGGAAAAGAAAATGGAAACTACTATAGTATAATAGGGTATATCTTAATTTAACTTACTAGATTATCCCCCTACAATGGAGAATGAAATGGAAAAGCAAATGGAAAAAGAAATGGAAGCTGGGATTATAGGGTAGTTTATATATGGGGTTATATAGGGATTATATGGCATCAGGAGTTTCGAGGCGCCCTGGTTGCCGTTGATGTGTTCTGGACCTCCATGCTGCCCAGACATTTTCCGCTCGCAGCGGCAGTGTGACAGGGTGTCATGTGAAGAACCTCTTTCAGCATAAAACCACGGAAGCCTCTGAAGAGCATGTCCGCTCCATAACCTAAGCTTCTGCAAATCTTACAAAACAATACCAAACAAGTAGTTCCCAGAACGCTTCCAACAAATGTTTGCACGCCTCACTGGGAGCCCAACTCAGGTAGATACAGTCACGGCCACCATTGCCCCATAGCCTGCCACCACATCAACTGCAGACATCTTTCCCGTCATTCGCTGGACCCATGAAGCCCGCTCACATACTTTCTGTGCCAACATGACAAGATCAGCAGTTCTATCCTATTGGCTCCTGGGACGAATACAGCAGAGATCAACCAATAGCTTTACCTAGCCAACAGCTCATTTGCCTGATTTGCAACATGGATTGCACAGCTGCCCCACAAGTCATCGAGCTCCGGACTTAGAAGCTGTCTTTCTGGGCTCTTATCTTGAAGGAACCGCAAGGGCCCATTGCCTGACACGCCACTTCCATTTCGGCCATTTGCCTAGGAATTTACAAGAAGCAGTCCTGTAGTTATGAGTTTTTTCTTGGATTCTGTAGGCTTTCTTCACAATCACGCCATGACGGCGGTAGGTTTCAAGGAATGTGACACTGCAGGCTAGTAGAATTGGCGAGGTGATACTCGTGCCACACGCCAGAATCACAAGGTCGAGGGTAATCCCAGTGGAGCAGATTTTGGTCTCTGGTTCTATCTTGGCCAGACATCTCATGAAGGGCTCCTGGGACAGAATGCTTCCTTAGGGTTTAGGGTTTAGGGTATTAGGTAGACAAGGAATGAGAGACTGTTAACTATGAAGGTCTTTCCAGCAGCCACTTCGGGCGTGGGATTCAGGACATGCTTCTTCGCTGAAGGCGTATCAGGATAGCTCTGCGCCCAACCATAAACGGGTTGGAAGGGAAGCTTTTGCTCCATAACATATGACTACATTGCAATATACTGGAATATGTGAATTTACTGCAACATGGTAGTTTCCACAGACAGGTGGCCCCAAGATAGACCCTAACATACCAGGAGTCTAGTTACAGGGACTCCCCCATCCCTAGACCCTAAACCCTAAACCCTGAATTCCGGATTTGCCCAAGCCCAGGACCATAGGACCATTCATGCCAGACTTAAGACCTTGGTGCAGAAATCGGATTGGGATTATATGGGGATCACATAGGTTATATACGGATTACATGTAGGGTTTAGGGTTTAGGGGTTTTTGATCCCGAAATACTTGAATCTCCCAATAATGGATAATTAATTGGAAAAGAAAGTGGAAAATGACATGGAAACTGGGATTCTATACGGGCTTATAGGAATTAGGGCTTGAAGCCCCAACTGGGTCTTTAGCCCTGATGTCGGAAGTGCATTTCCCGTCACTGAAAAGAGCTGCGACCAAGAGCCTGACAGTCCATCTGCCGAAGCTTTCCCAGAATCATCAGGTACTTATGGGTTTTTAGCTGGGAATCAGGGAAATGACTCCCTGTACAAGCCTTATATCGTAGATTCTCATATTCCACATTAAAAACCAGTAAGACACGGTTACCGGAAAATGAGCTTGCACCTACTATAGCTACTAGCAGGAACCGTCGACCTAAGCTCTGTCCCGACCTGAAATATAGGGGTGTCTATTTTGGGGCCCCGGGAAACTACCATATGAGCCATAGTCTAAACTCCTTAAAGGGGGGTTATATAGGGGATTATATTTGGGAGTATTATAGGGGTTATAAAGGAGGATACTAGCAGTTTAGGCTATAGCTCATATCAGTTCCAATCTGCTGAAACCTGCTCTGGGAACCTCACCCCTTGACCCCAGAGACGACCCATATCCCAGACGTGCCAGGTTTATGGTTTAGGGCTTAGAGTTTAGGGTCTGGTATTTAGGGTTTATGGTTTACAGATTGAGAATCTCGGGGTTTTGTTTAGGGATCCTGTTTTTGCATACGAAGCTCTGCAAGAACGAAGCATATGCTTTGGACCCGAGTACTACACGATATCGCTACCACAGACGCCTGCACATCGCCCTGATACGCTCCGACATCATCAAATACATACCGTAATCTACTACGGTAGTTTCCATTTCATTTTCCATTATCTCTTTATTACCCTAATATAATTCCCATATAACCCTAGTATAACCCCAATATAACCCTAATGTTGCCATAATCTCGGAAATACTTCCCATTCAGTCCTGGTCCTGAGCAACTGGAAGAGCCGGCTGAATCGGGGCTTAGCTTTTCTACAATCCATGCAGGGAGCGGCCGGCAGAAGTTGCTACCTTATACAATACTTAGCCATGAATAGGTCGAAGCCCTACACCCCTAGTACATCCTAGTACTAGCACGACCAAGCAAGTCCGAATCAATGTTGCTTTAGGCACCTAAAGGAGCAGCTCAATTTCACACCCTTCGACACGCGATGGGTACCGCAGAGTGTTGGCTTCTGAGCTTTTCCTGGCTTCGGTCTCCAGGAGTTTAAGGTGCTGAGGGGCAGCAATTAAGTATGCTGTTTGGGGGTCTTGGGGCTATGGCTTAGTGCTGTGGATTTGTCCGCCTTGTCTATGGTACATGCACGTTGATGCCTAATTTAACAGACTTGCGAGCCAGCAGCCAAAATGGGAGTTCCTGAAATAGGGGGGACACAATATAGACCCCTAAATGCTATAATCCTGATTACGGGGACCCTCAAAAAGGTATCCCTAATTTTTGGGCCCTGAGTATTCATTCGCAGGTCAAGGAGGTGACAGCGGGGTTTGTGTCACGGTGCCGTCACATGCGCAAACTGAAGCCTGCGCACCTGTGACAGCAATGTCAATAATGGGACCCATCGCAGCGGATCTACATACACTCATATGACTCATATGAGCGAACAAGACTATCGATACCAATACTACGTAATACTACGTAATACTACGTAATACTATGTAATACTACGTAAAGAAGACTATCAGCCCTCTGGAGGCCCGCTACGTGGTGCTTGGTCAGTACCCCCGCGCGACGGGCTGCATTCGTGTGTGCCAATTGCCCTCCTGCCAAGTTTACCACCTGAAATCTTTGTAGGAGGGGGATCCAGAAGCGGAGCCTTGGAGATTTCAAGGAACATTCTAACATATTGGGGTATCCTAACCTTCTGAGGTGCTCCCTTTCTCACGACAGAGGAGCATTTTCAAAGGCATGACATGCATGGTGAGACCGACTTGAAGTGGATATGCTGAACCGAGAGCGATGTGACTGCCTTGACTTAAAGGGTTCAGTTCCCACTACGGCAATTACTTGCGGCACCCTATCCTAAGAGTGTCTTAGCTTTGACCCATGTTGCCAGCAAGGCAGAGTTGCAATCAGTTGGAAGTTCTATGGAAGTTGCATAACAGATGAGTGTAGGGGAACTATGCTTGGAAAGCGCATAACAGATGAGTGTAGGGGAGCTACCTCCCAGTGCAGGCGCAATTGATGTATGGCAAGGGCTAGAAGGCCGTAAGGGTGAACTATGTCGTCCCACAGGCCAGTCCCCCTTAAGTAGTTAGAATTTTAGGGCTATATTGGGGTTATATAAGGATAATGGAAAAGAAAATGGAAACTACTATTTAGGGTTTAGGGTTTAAGGTTATCAGCCCAACACAGGAATTCTAGGTCGGCGGCCAGAGCAGTTGAAGAGTTGTTGGATCGCCTGCTTGCATCAAAGCCTTGCTTAACTTGCTATTCTGGGTTGGTTTGTGGATATTTAGACAGTTTCCTTCACTGGTTTCACAAGGAATCTATATCGTAATGTTTTCAAAATGCTCCAAAGACCAACAACCAAGAGTTGTGGGGGAGGGGAAGATCAAGAGCCAACTTGTTCTCTTCAGCGGACCATTGCCATAATGGATATTCAAACGGAAACGCACATGGAGGTTGAAATGGAAACTGGGATGCCCTGTCTGTGCCTAAGCCGCGTTTCCAAGCTCTACAGCGCAATGCCCCACATGGTGTACCCATAAAATGGCCCAAAGAATGTTATCGTTTGACATGCGACAGACAAAACCTGGGTCAGCGCAGTCACACTACGGGAATAGTCCATAGTTCTGTATTCATCCCCCTAAAGTGCCTCCAACGGCTTTGTAAAAATCAAGATGGCATTTTGGAAGTGCCAGTCCTAAGTAAACCAAAATACTGCTGCGGAATAGACAGATTTGCCAGAGATGGCTCTACGCTTTGTAACGGCGGAGTTAGTGCTGCTCCTGACAGCTTGTGTCGGAGCAAGCTGTCCGCCTTTAGAGCAAGTGCAGAAGGCTGAGGTGGTAGCCACCTACAACGTCTCCAAAGCCCAGGGGAGGTTTTATGAAGTGTTTGTGAAAGATGTTGTGGAGGCTCCCTGCACTTGCTTTTTGAAGGACCGGCGTGTTACCTCCAAGAGTTTGCAGGACAGGGATCAGCTCTACTGCGGCTTTGGGGAGCACAGGGCCTGGTACCATGCAACAGAAGACAACTACTTTGTGACCGGCCAGAACGCTCGTTTCGACCTCGTATTTCAGTCGCCACTTATCCGTAAAGTCCACTTTCCGAACATTATCTTGGGTTTCGCGGAGGATGCCACGGGTGAGTATGTGTGGCTTGTGGAGTACCAGTGTATGCAGGCGTTAGGTGTGCAGACCTATATGGGCTTCAACATCTATCACCGCCGCTGGGACCCACCTGAGGCGGATGTACTTGCCATACAAAAGGTCCTTGAGGAAGCAGGTCTTGGTGAATATTGGGGCCACAGCATCAAGCCGATGGGAGGGCCACATTGCAACTACACAGCATCACCTTCCGCAGATGAGGCAACCGAGACAGTTTTGGTAGTGTAGGCCTTGGAGGCTGAAATCTGAGCTCTCACGAGCACGCGCAATTTTTTGAAAGTGCTGCCTCTGTTTCGCAGCCTCGCGGCCAAGTGGTTTAATGAAGCTCTTGCACATGGGTAGTTCCCAAAATTATGGGCCCCTTTTGGTTGTAGATTATATTACGGCCCCTATTATTCAGAGGTACCAAAAATAGGACCCTCATTTTGGGAACTATCCACTTGAGCATCGTTTCAGAGGAGTTCGAAGAAGCAGAAGTGCTGGCAAAACGCCTGAGACTCCTGTGTGGGAAGTAGGGTCATATAGGGGTTATCTTGGGATAGTGGAAATTAAAATGGAAACGACTATCTAGGGTTTAGGGTTTAGGGGGTTTGACTCGAAACCTAGGGAGGCTGTTCTAATCTTTGGATCCCAAGCCCCTAGATTTAGGGGTCGGCGCATGAACAGGAGATATGCAAGTATGGCGGATCGCCTATCCAAACCATTTCAGCTCTTGGACACAAAGTCAAAGTTGTCCAGACATTGATTCTCGGTTTGGTGGAATACCAGCCCTACTGAAGGCTTTGGCCACATCCAAACTTGCATTTTTAAGTGTTCCCAAAGTTCTGAACAACAACTTTTCCCTCATCAATTCACTTCTACTTTCCCTCTTGCCTAATGACAGCCAGCATGTTGCCTCGGTGGCTGGATGTTCTGTATAATCCCAATATTTTCCATTTTGTTTTCCATTTTCTTTTCCATTTGATTCTCCATTATCCCAATATACTCCCAATATAATCCCAATATAATCCCAATATCATCCCAATATCATCCCAATATAACCAAAAATGCTGTAAACCCTAGACCCTAAACCCTAAACCCTAAACCCTATGTAATGCGCCAGGAACAAAGGCAAAAGCGAAAAGCTGGCCTGCCTCTTATGTGGATCGGTGTGAGATGTCCGTGTGTGGCTATGGGTTGCTCCACGGTCGAGTTATGGGGATTATATAGGGACTATAGGGTTATATAGGGATTATATAGGAATTATATAGGGATTATATAGTGATTATGTAGGGTTTCTATAGGGATTATAGGGTTATATAGGGATTATACAGAAATTATATAGGGATTATAGGGTTATATAGGGATTATATAGGAATTATATAGGGATTATATAGGGATTATAGGGTTATATTGGGGTGTTGTATTGGGATAATGGAAAAGAAATTGGAAACTATCGGGGTTATAGGGATTATATATATACACACATATATTTGTTATAGGGAGTGTTGAGCTCTTCTGTAGAAACTTGTGAGGGCTGGTCAGAAAATGCAGTACAGCTCCATGGATTGATGGGAAGGGGTGAACCATGTAAGTATGTCATGCAGGCTACTAAGACCTGTAGTTGAGGTTTGATAACCGGCCGGGTGTAGCCAGCAGCACATCCATTTGGAGTGCTGTTGTTGCAATGTCCGCTCGAAGACTGCCATAGACAATTCACCTGAAGCCTGGCAGTTGCAATCTAGTCGACTTCTCCACACTAGCAATAGCAGACAGCAGTAGCAGCAATGGCATGAAAACCTTTTGACTTTGGAGCCTGCGGACTTGAGGCAGAAACCGAGCAGCCAAAGGGCTTCAAATGCGGCACTTTCGGCGCATCCTCTATTGAGGTCACCGTAGGGTCCGCATCATTGCCATCATCAACATCCGTGTCCTCCTCATCCTCCCTCCTCGTCATGTCATCCATGTCCATGTAGTCGTTGTCATTATAATATTCACAATTTTCAGCATCATCATCTTCTTCTTCTTCTTCTGCTGCCTGCTGGCAGCTGCCTAGATCATTTTTCGCGGTCTTCCCATCCTTTTGCTTATCCATGCGGTCTGCCTAGCCATGCGTAATGTCACCAGACTGTGCTGAAGTGCAGAAGACTGAGCCTTGTTGCATGATGGGTGTTTCCCAAACTTCGGGGTAGCATTGTGGGTGTCCGCATAATAGGGATTATAGCATTTTGAGGTTTATGTTGGGGTCCCCTCATCGGTGGAATTGCCTAATGGGGTTTTTGGACTGCTGCCTCCAGTGGATTAAACCTTGTCCAGGAGGTGTGTCTGCGGCTGGGATTTATGGTGGAATAAGCTAAAACCCCATTATAGTTGTTTCCATTTCAATTTCTTCTATCCCAGTAAAAATCCATATAACCCATCCCTAAACCCTATAAACAAGCGCCACGTTGCGGCTTGTAAGCTACAAACGCGCCAACCCGAGTCGCACCCTAACCCTGCTTGATGAGTGTGGGAACCGGAGGTTTGCTGGGCTGCAGTTAAGGAACTTAAGTTCAGTTACTATATTGGGGAAACCATATTAATTTCCTATATCTACCCATTATGGTAACTTAATTTAAGTTCCGTAACAGCAACCCAGTTTGTGAGGGTCCAGTTGGCTAGCCAGATCCAAGCTTGATCAAGGCAAAAGCTCAGCCACCAGCATAACCATAAATATTGGGGCTATATTGGGATAATGGAAAATAAAATGGAAGCTATTATAATGGGTTACATAGGGTTTAGGGTGTAGGGTTATATTGGGATAATGAAAAAGAAAATGGAAACTACTACAGTATATTGGGGCTATATTGGGGTTATATTCGCCAGAGCGATAAGCAAGTGGATTCTGATTTAGATCTGCATGCCGGGCAGGATCGCCATCTAGCCACCGGGGACTATGCCGGCGGGCTGGCGATATGGGATTTGGAGAACCTCAAGAAGCCAATATGGAGTGGGGCACTCTGTTTAGGGTTTAGGGCTCGGTGTATTTGGCACCATGAGACATGAATCTAGGGATATAAGGTGTATTTTTTGGGGTAATGGAAAAGAAAATGGAGACTACTGAAATGGGGTTACATAGGGTTCTTTGTCCTTCTTCATGTCATAAAGACCCGAGTGTCTGGAGCAATTGGCGAGGCTGGGTCCGAATGCTGTGACCTCTGCCAGGCGTGAAAGGTCATGACCTCATCGTCAATGCCATCGATGGCTGTGGAGGCATGATACTATACACTCCCCCAAACTAACATGGAAACCCATATAGTCCCCTTTTAGAAGGACTGTAGTCTTTATTGGGTTTCCATGTTAGTTTCCGGGAGTGTACCTTCCAGCTGAGTCTAAGTTGGCTCATTGCTGGCCTGAGTAAGGTCTGTTGTCACACGGTTCCTTTCCATCAACTGCGCTGTGTGAACCTCGCTTGCTGGTTGCAGGCCTCGGCATTGGCAGTGGTGCTCCTGAGCGGGGTCCTCAACCCATGCTTCCATCCTATGGCGATGTGGGATGTGCATTAAATTGCATAAAGGTTGGTGAAGAACTGTTGGCTTTGATCTGCATCAGGCTAGTGACCGGCAGTAGAGACGGGACAGTTCGCGCCTGGACCTCATCTTTTGGCTGTGATGCTGAGTACGCGCCTTGATCATCGCCACGCGTCCTGATAAAACTTTCACACCCAGATTCGCCACAAGGGACGAAGTTCAAGCTTTGGCTGAGGTGTGGGACCCTCGCACGCCAGACCCAGTCCTGTCACTCGAGCCGGTCGAGGGTGAAACGCCAGCTGATTGCTGGACAGTGGCCTTTGGCCATTCCTACAATGACGCAGAGCGGTGTATCGCCGCAGGACACATGCAGAGCTACAGCCGCCCATTCGTAGCACGCATAGCATTTTGTGATCTCTGGTGGTCCAAAAGGATATGACAACGGCGATGTCAAGATCTTTGACTTGTCCTCCTCTCAGCAGGACTTGTCCTTGAGTTGGGAAAAAGGGGCAAAGGTAGACACATGTATGAGCTACCGACTAAATTTAGGTTGGGGGGACCTATAGGGGACTATATGGGGTTGTGGGGGGGGACCTATTAAGGGATATACTGCAAATTTAGTCCGGGGCTCATATGAGCGACGGCTCTTATTATCGTGTAGGAGCCAAGAGCAGGCAGAGATAAAATCCAGGAACATGAGCAAAACCCTAGTAAAGCGAGATAGGACCCCCCCCAAAAGCGATACCCCCTAAATGGATGGCAACAGTGTGCAAAAACCCTGTAAAGCGATAGGCCCCCCCCAAAGCTACTTCTTACTTAGCTGTTTACTAGTAATTTAGGTAGCTGCTCATATGTACATTAACACGTATGACATAAGCCAGCTGAGGCGAACAAACACGCTGAGATGGGACACAAATGTGCGGAATGGCGTTTGCCATCTCCAGTTTGTGCAGGTCTTAGCCTGTTCCTCTTCAAGCGTTCTCTTACTGGTTCTTTTGGTAGGGAATAAGGAGATATAATCCCCATATAACCCCTAATATAGTATATTCCCATATTCCCCCCCGCCCCCCAGTAAGTTCTTAATCTCATAGCCTTGTACCTGAGGACCGGAAAGATATCCGAATGAACAAGCTGGGTGTTTGGGCCCCAGCACGTGGTTTAGGTTCAGCTGCATCTCTGCAGGCCATCACTCGCAAACCGCCCTAAACCCCCTAAATCCCTAGACTCCTTAACTCCTAGACCCCAAACCCCAAAACCCTATAAACCCTATAAACCCTATAAACCCCTAAACCCTAAAGCCTAAATTTTATCTTTGCTGATGCCAAGGTTTCAACCCTGGAGTCCACACTGGTGGTCTACGACCTGCGCACGACAGATCCTCAGCAACTGAAGCATGGATTGAAGAGGAGGAGTGGTCAAGATACTATATTGAGGGTTTAGGGATTTAGGGTTTAGGGGTTTAGGGGACTTTTTAGGGAACAAGGGAATATGTTATATAAGGATCTCATAGGAATGATATTCCCTTCTTCTTCCCAAGTAAACCACCACTAAGTAGTATAGGCCTTGTTGCGAGGTCCCCCGAAAAAGGCTCCTACTTTATGGATCCCCCCCTCATGGTAGCAGTCCGTCCGAGCAACCTGATCTAGGTGGCGCTTCGCAGGCCATGGGGGGGAACGACTCCCTGTAGCGGCCCCTACCCACTTAGAGGGTCACGGGGACATCTCGGGTTACTATGTGGGTTATAGGAGTTACTAAACCCTAAACCCTTACTTGCTAAATCCCCCTGAGCCTCCAAGCAGGGAGTAATATGGCCGCCATTTCCCAGGTATCATCCCGAGGAGGGCTATGCTGGCAGAAAAGAGAAGGCCAGACATGTTGTGGTTTAGGGTTTAGGGTTTGGTTGTTTAAGGTTTGGGGATTAGGGTTTAGGATTAGTAGGAGATGAATGCAGGGACAAGAAAATGAAAACTACAGTATGGATGGGGATTAGATAGAGGCTAAGAGCGTACAAAGATGTATAGGGTCTAGGGGTAGGGCATGGAGGCGCGGGAAAGAATGCAAGACTGCCACAATATATGTTGGGGTTTATACGGCTACTGCCGGAAGGTTCTATGGGGGACTAAGTACTGAGACCTTTCAACTACCCTTGAACAGGGTCTATGTAGATCCTGTTTGAGGGTACTTAGGGGTCTACCAGTGTTATCCCTTTAGGGTCCACTTGTAGTTATAGCAATCAGCTGGCCCCAGCCCTCACATCCTGTTACACCTCCCGCCACGTTTTGCCACATGTCCAACCAGCCCAAGACCGCAACATTTCCAAATTTAGGGTTTAGGGGTTTAGGGTTTAGGGTTTCCCAAGCACTCCCAACAAGCTTCAACAACTTTCATAACCCTAAGCTCCGAACCCTAAACCTTAAACCAAAATCCTCATTAATTTCAGCCGTCACTCTAGTTCTTGGTATACAATGTAGCAACCCAATAGCCCCATAGCAGCCTTGGCTTATCAACTTCCATGAAAGTGAATACGGGGTCAGGGAGTATAGGGGCTATACTGTACACCATACTGGTTTTACGGTTAAGGGTGTGAGGGGTTGAACATAGGGATTATAAGGGTCTTCGCAGCAGTGCGGGCACCACAATTCTAAAAAGAAATGGCCGAAAAAAGCTCTAGGGTTTAGGGTCAAGAGTCTAGGGCAGTTTGCGTACATGCAATTACCGCACAAGAATGCCATCTCTCGCGGCCCTTGCAGCTTCTCTTACAAGGGACCTCCTTTAAAGCCCTACATTGTAGCTTCCATTCTGTTTTCCATTATCCCTGTACAATCCCTAGAGATAAATCCTTTATATATATATATATGTATGTATATGGGTGGCCGTCAAAATTATGGTCCCTTTTTGGGTACCCTAAGTATGAGGTGCCGTATTATAATAGGGATCCAAAAAGGGACCATAACTTTGACGGCCACCCATATATATATATATACACCTTATACAGGTACCCTATTTCGCCCCCGAACCCAAATTTCTGAGCCAAATGCCAAACCCACTAGAGGTAAGCCAAATCAGCTGAGTTAGAACTATGGGAGATGCCAGATGAGTGGATGCTAGATGGGGTAGGGTGTAGGGTTGGGGGTTGGAGAGTCCGAAATGTTATCATTTTGAAGGGTATATAAAGGCCAGACAGGGATTTAGTGAGGGATGCAGGGATTCAATCGGAGGGGTATGGAAAGGACAACCTGAAATGAAAAGGAAGCTACGGGGAATATGAAACGGAAACTGTGATCATCTGCTGGTAGTGGTTGGTACGGGTTAGGGTTTAGGGTTCAGGGCTTCCATCCAGAAATCATTCATGGGGTTTACAGGGGTCCTTGTTACCCCAACCCCGAAAATTACGGCCCCAGTAATCCCCATCATAGTCACATGATAGTTATTGGGTGCCCGGTGGCGTAAGTACTGCCGGGGTATGAAAGGGGGCACCCCTAATTCTTCAACTGCCCACATCGTGTAAGAGGAGCAAGCTCTGCGTAGATATTCGATGGGTACCCTTTTGATGGGGATACGCGACTCCTCAACATCCAAGATTACATCATCCTTTCTGGTGTGTATGAAGAATCTTACTAGGTTTCAACAACCGAAAAAAGCTGCTCAGGTGACAAAGAGCACGCTGTGGGGAGCGCATTTCTTGCCGCAGAACAGGGAAGTGTTCGCCTCTTGCGGTGGAAATGGCACTATCACTCTTTTCAAGTCTGAGCCTCAGCAAGTGCGCTTTCAGAAAACATGTGGGATTTGCAGCAAAAATTGCAGCGGCCACGCTTTAGGAGTCCCTACAACAAGGATAGATATACATATGCTTTAAGTCTATATATATACATAGAGAGATAGAGAGAGAGAGAGAGAGAGATAGATAGATATGTATATATATGTATGTATACATATATGAGCCAGCATCCAATGTCCAACCTTTCCGGATGAAGTTTGGGAGGACCAGACAAAAAATGAGTTCGACCCGAACCCCAGCCGCTGTGTAAAACTCTGTTTCAGCCGCGCATCACTGGAGCAGCAACCTGCAGGGTTTACCGAAACCCTAAACCCTAAACCCTTTTTCTTCACGCTTGTCACAAGGTCTTTCCAGCCGAGCCTACAAGAAACTCCCTCCTACGTGGCATATGAGCCATAGTCTAAACTCCTTAAAGGGGGTTATATAGGCGATTATATATGCTTAGGATTTCAGAACACGTCGCACTACAGGCCCCAGTTTTTGAGTTTTCTGTTTGAGGCCACTTTTGGGGTTTTTGGTGTCTTTCTTAAGTAGATACGTAGATACATAGGAGCTTCCCTTTGTAGCTGCTGGCCACTCAGACCTAGAACAAGGCTCCTCACACGGGCCGCTGTATGT